CATATTTAATTTGTATTGTGCTTTTTAGTCACTCTCGATTATTTCATTGCATTTCATTATATTTGCTTATTTGGGACTGTTGAGTAATCAAGAGGGAAGTGAAGTGTGCTTGTTTAGAGGGGATCGAGTTATTCAAGTTTATACGGCCTTGGTGAATCTAACACTAACATTTTCACTCGTTCCGAACCCAACAACTTTAGCCCAGGTTTACAGGGACCCCACTGGGCCTGGGTACTCCTCCCGCCCGGCGAGGTATATTTGACATTTCTTTTGTTTTGTCCGATGTATGTGTTGTAAGGAGGCTAAGATCATCACAATACACCTAGCATTGCATGACCTACTTCACGGAAGTCGAGGTTCTACATAGGTACACCCCCGTGCACCGTGTAACTGAGTAAACGTGGTCTAAACCTGAGATCTTGTAGACTTCCACAAGCACATGGATATTAGTTAACACCTCGCATGTTGTAAATTACGTATTAGCACAGTGGTGGTTGAAAAATATCTGATTTAACAAATGGCACAATTCACATAAGTACATAAGAGTAAACTACATAAAATACTTTACCCGACACCAAAGTTGTTGAATCCTACGCACAAACACCAAAAACAAAGCTAAACTATTGATACAACTTAAAATACAATAAAGCCCACCACCAACTAGCTTTAACAAACAACAAGTGATCAGGTGACGCCAAGCACTCTCAAATCCCCAAACATCCTCCGGAAGCTACCAAAAAAAATATCGACAGGTGGTGACGGCGGTGGCTCATGTCCACAGAATCTCCAACTACTTGACCGGTTGCATCCGACGTTGAAATATACAGGGTATTTAAAGGGATATAGACATCTCGAGCTTGTGTAACAAACATGATGTATAGGGTGCTTCGTATCGACAATCAATAATTTTATTTTAATATGTGGTAATTACCGATTCCTTTGAGGTATGTACTAACTTGTTGTTTGTAACTAACAATTTTCTCCGTGAATGAAGCAGTCACGGGGGTGGTAAAAAAACCGTAGTCAAAATTGAAGTACGACACCTAATTCCGTGATTGTCTTCGACATCCAACTGTAGGCTCGAAACCCCGAAACCAGAGGCGGGCTACCCATCTTGCAGGAGCGGGATTACGCTAATCAAAGCTCTTCAGTTTAGAATCTATGTGCGATAAATGAGTGGCGATTCAATAATTTCCACATATCTTGTTTTTAGTTAAATTTGCCTACAAGGCCATGTAATTTTCCATCTTGCTTTTAACAAAAGGACTTTGTGCACCAAAGATGAGTCACATTCTGTCTATTTCACCCTTTCTTCCTGGTACCTGGTTACCTGACCCATAATTCCCAAAACATGTTTTTAACCTGTATGTTACCTCTTGAAGTTTACCTGCTACTTTTTGTGATGTTATAATTTTATGTTACGCATTCACATCATTACAAACAATTAATTTTACAACACAATTTGATATTAATTTGACGGCTGGTTTTTTTATTGGTAAGTTCTTTTTTCCCAGCCTATTTCTATTTTGATTCGGTGAACTACCATTTTCAAAGTTTATTTTTGCAATGTAATTTATTTCGACTTAAATTTCCGAGCTTTCACAATCATAATAATTGCGATCATTATTAAACAAACTTTTCACAATTTGAGTGTTTTATTTTACGTTCCTTCCCTACTGTGCTTCAGGTCAAAGCGTTGTCTACAACTAACGTAAGGGGGCCCTGCCTTAGATGTTCGATCACGTGCCACTTTTCAGTCAGTGTGTGTTAAGATGTCCGTTTTCAAAATTTCAAACAAGTACCGTTGACGTATATAGAGACACCGCTGGAAAATACGTTCACTTTGAAACAATGCAGACTGTCCAACAATGTAATAATTTCAATGTCTGCATTGCTTGTATGAAGGAAGTATTTTTGTTCAGTTCATGCAGGTTCATTTTTAGCGCTGTAGTGTACTTAAACCCCCCCAGGTTCTACGCTAACTTCACACCCCAAGAACACAGAAATAAAATCAACCCGGCAACGTTTAACAAGTTAAAAAGTAATCGTAAACGATTTACATAAAGCGCATTTCCACTTGCATTCATTTCCCATTTATAAGATGCAACTTCTGATAAAATCGTAAAAATCCGGCCACAAATATGAAAGATAGCGTTGCACATGGGCAATCCATTTTTGACGTGTTACTTCAATTTCAGTTTATGAGAAATGCGCAAAAGAAAATTTTGAGACTGGCGCTCGATGATCCTTTATCCCAAGTGCCTATGTATCAAATTTCATTTAAATTCTTCCATAAATAAAAAGGTTGGCGCTGCGCATGCGCAAAACCAAATTTTGAAATTGGCGTTTGATTTTCCTTTATCCCAAGTGCCTATGTATCAAATTTCGTTTAAATTCTTCCATAAATAAAAAAGTTGGCACTGCGCATGCGCAAAACCAAATTTTGAAATTGGCGTTTGATTTTCCTTTATTCCAAGTGCCTATGTATCAAATTTTATTCAAATACTTTTATAAGTAATAAAGTTTGCAATTCGGTTTATAAATGGTCGAGATGCGAATAGGGCACTGTGAATTCGATTCAACTTTTGGCATTGCGTATAAATTATATGGCTAAAGCTATGCCCATATTGAATTTCATGCAATTCAGTTCATAACTAACGGAGATGTAAAAGCGATCGAACATTTCTAAACAAAGTTATCGTTCACACGGACAGATAGATGGACAGACAAAGGAACAGACGGACAGACCAGCATGCAGACGACAGATAGCAATGCAAAATTATAAACGATCTCTAGGATCGTTAATAAACGGCAAAAGTGTAAAATTATGGAACATGTAAAAAACGGTTTTTGTTTTTTTTACAATAACTTTTTTTGTAAGCGGTACAGAAAAAATTCCTTCCTTGGTACAAGACTCGACACCATAACGAACCAAATAGCGAAAAAGTAGAACAATAGCTCTTAAGATAAAGAACTAGTAGCGTCGCAAAACGAGCGGACGGACGGACGGACGGACAAAGTGGCCACAATAGCGCTTTTTTTTTTATTTTTGTGAAAATGCGCTAAAAATGCCCCCCGAATGACTATTCCCTCCAAAACTAAACAAGAACCCCGCTTAAATTTGAAAAGTGGCACTTGATCAAACATCTAAGGCAGGGCCCCCTTACGTTAGTTGTAAACAACGCTATGACCTGAAGCACAGTGGGGAAGGAACGTAAAATAAAATACTGAAATTGTGAAAAGTTTGTTTAATAATGGGTTTTTTATTGGTAAGTTCTTTTTTCCCAGCCTATTTCTATTTTTATTCGGTGAACTACCATTTTCAAAGTTTATTTTTGCAATGTAATTTATTTCGACTTAAATTTCCGAGCTTTTACAATCTATTAATAATTGCGATCATTATTAAACAAACTTGTCACAATTTCAGGGTTTTATTTTTCGTTCCTTCCCTTTAAGCGGGACCTTGTTTAGTTTTGGTGGGAATAGTCATTCGGGTGGCCATTTTTAAACGTTGCCGGGTTGACTTTATTTCCGTGTTCTTGTAGTGTGAAGTTAGCGTAGCACCTGGGGGTTAAGTACACTAAAGGTGTAAAGGAGAACGACAGATACAAACAGGGAACCGATAAATATGAGTGAAAATATTGGGAAGGAAGCATACGTTAAGCGATTGTACGAAATGTCGAAACTGCGCTAGTCGTTTTTGCAGAGGACGTTGTGAATTTTCAAGTTTAACGTGTCCACTGAGTGGATCCAGAAGAAATAAATTAAGCCAAGAGCGAGAAATCATAACCATTAAACCAGCTTCGCGTTGCGGCCTAAGATTTTCGCAACATTTCCAAGAAAAACGAGAGAACGTTGAACATTTTCCGCGAAGCCACGCCCGTCAGGATTTTGTAACCGGTCCGTGTCGTTACACCTACATTGGGAACAATTAATGAAATGATTATCAGATTATCCTCGTGTCCATTCCGTTTGATTTTTTGATTTTTTTAGTATTTTTAGCCATAGTGTCAAAACCGGCCCCCTGACGGAGAAGGATTCAACTAAATTAATTATATTTTGGTTGATTCTCATTGCCCAAGAAATGCTCCTTTCTAAGATACCAAATTTGTTACAATCGGTCAAACGGTTAAGAAGTTAAAGCAGGTTATTGCAAAAACAATTGAACGTCCCGCGTTGTGAAAAATTAATGTTTAGTTTATTATGGGAAATTTAAAGAAAATGCAATTTTAAAATTTAAGATAGCAGTAACGCCCTCTAGTGGTCATTTTTAGAACTTGAAAATATTTTCCAGCGATTCTTCATAACCGATTTACCCAAAAATTTTTTTTACCCCTAAGTCATATGACGAACGGTTCTCGATATATGGCCGAGGAACAGTCTTATTGGGTCACCCGGTACGTAAGAAAAGACAAGAAAAAATAAAATGTGTTTCGTACAGAACAATGCAATACCTGGAAAACCTTTTATGGAGAAAAAACCTGGCATAACCCACACAAATACAAAGAAAATCCAAAAGAGAAAAATATACAAATCAAACATTAACTCGTAAAATAATAAATTATATGTACAAAAAAAAACATCAAAAGCATATCTGTACTCCAGCATTGACGTCACTTAATTTAGCGCGAGAAGTACATGTGAAATTGCCAGTAGTAAGTACTTATATTAAGGTCTATTATCGCACAAGAAGGAATTTTAACTAAAGAACATCTTTTTTGTTGCCACGAGCACAAGATGAAGGACCAACATACACAGCAAATAATCAAGTTGTATAAGGTACTTCCTGCAGGGAATATAGTTAAGCAATTCATACAGAGAAACATAAAGTTAGAGAACCCCCTTCTCGTATTGCTTACGCACCGCTCGGCAGCGGCCACGAGATAAGAAAGGAATCGAGCTGCATGTAGTTCTCCCTCCAAGGAATTGTTATTTGGTTAGTAGTAATCGAAGGCAAACGGTATTAGAAGCATATGAGAAGCGACAAAAACTTCGTTACGAATTAATTAAAAATGTAATTGACGCAACTGTCACAAGCGTTCTCTTACAGATATAGGTACAGAATGTTAGGCAAGAGAATCGCGATTAAAATCTCTTCCGTAAATACCAAAAGTCATCAGACGATTTTGAGGTTTCTTTAAGAGATACGTTCGACGAACACGTTTATTACCCAGTATACTTCTCCACTCAAAGTCGTCAACGTGGATCGGTTCTATGTTACTGAGCAGAGAGTTCGGGAACTGGAACTTGTTAGGGTCCTCATCGAACTCCGCCTCTATGACGATTTTCTTGAAAGTTGTCGGCCACGAAACGGTGTTATAGTCTCGAAAACTGAAATGAAAGTAGCGCTCACCCCATCAAGGAGATCGGTGTAGACTCACCGTTTGCCACATGAACTCAATGAGTCGTTAAGACACGCAACGACCGCGCAAACTTCGATGCCTCCGTTAGAGACCCTCGCGAATGTTCGCGTCCCACTGAAAGCCACCATATGGTATTGGTAGTGTTTTTTGTCGTCGTTCACCGGCTTCGCCTGCCATTCGAGCTCTAGTTGAAAGTGGCAACAAAACTGATGGGTCTCATTGGCGCCACTGCACACGCTGGTATCTACGTTGTTGTTACCTCGCAGCACCAACTTCGACGTGTAAGCTGAATAGGTAGGGACATAGAGTAAATACAATAAGAATTCCAGACGCTTATTAATTTATGGCCACCTTTCACACACCTCATAAGTAGATGTAAGCGTGGGAAAATTACAGTGACTTTATATTTATAGGGCCTACATGATGTGGGGTCGGCGACATCTGGGCGCCATCCCCGAGCGTGGTTTACTAACTTCCTATCTTCTTCTGTAGGAAAAACTCAAGAATCACCACGTTAGTAAACCAGGGCTCGGGGATGGCGCCCGGATGTCACCGACCCCACATCATGTAGCCCCGCCCCTAAAGAATTGTTAATTATGCGGCCCGGTAGGTCCAGCTAGGCCGCCGGCCAAAGTGAGATTAAGAACCCCCGTTTTACAAATAAATTTGCAAAAATTGCGTTAAAAAGAGATAATTACAAAAAAAGTTAAATCACTGTTTGTTAATTACTTTTTTAACTTGTTGTCTACCAACCTAACCCACTACACATTTACAAATACCCATGCCCGTACCCGGACTCGAACCAGAGACCCTTAGTACCGCAGTCCAGTTTCAACTCAACTGCGACACACGGGCGGGCTTAAGAATGATGTTATTGTTTGTAAAAACATCCAATCACATGTCTTAACAACATTGTTAGCTAGCAACATAATTAAGTATGCTGCATGGCTTTATAATACGGGCCGATAATCATTCTGAAGTTAACAATTTTTTTTATTTTCTTTTTGGAATTTTACATAGCGTTTCATGCACAGGGTGTCTCATTTTCGACACTTTTATTTTAGCGTTTCATGCACAGGGTGTCTCATTTTCGACACTTTTATAGGCGTTATGGGCTCTTTTTGGGTCAAACTTGCAATGGTAAAATCAAAATTTGCGCATTTTTGCTTCAGAGATACGAAGATAAATCAAACAATTTGTCAGAATGACCGTAAAAACAGAAACAAAAAAAATGTTTCTTGAAAATTATTGATAAATAATCTGCCGTTTTCAAAATAAATAATTATACAGTACTATCGGGTAAAAAAGTTATTGGATCTAACTTAATTTTATTTAAATGGCATACCCTGTATATTTCAATCTAAATATAGCATATTAAATTCTGTTTTTTAAATATAACACTGAAAAAATTCAATATCGATTCAAAAAGGTTAAAAAAAGATTTCTTAAAAATTCAAAAATTCGTTTGTAGTAATTTCTAATTTTTTCAGTGTGAGAAAAAAGAGCGATAGTTCATAGAAAACAGTTCCTTTTGTTGAGACCTGAATGGGTAAAACGTGTGGTTGCCCCCCCCCCTCACCTTTCCCGTTTTCAAAAGTTTTACTTGCCACTAAAGGCATGCGCATGTAAAATGGTATTAGACTCTATTAGTGTGACGTCAAATTTGAGCGGGAAATTCGAAATGCTGGACTTGGCTGTTTCACTGTCGAAGATATTGACCCTCGTGGGCGTTTGTTGAACGGTATTTCGGTTTGAAATTGCATTTTTATGTCTAAAGACGTTAAGAGAGAAACTTTTAGATGAATTCTAAAGAGTCTAAAGTGTGAGAGTGAAGGAACTATAGGTAAATAACAAGTTTTCCGTTGCACGTCATTACTGGAATAATTTCACAATACCAACCTAAATATTTAAATGGGATGTGTTGTTTATAAGTTAAAAACAGTTTTTTGAAATTAATACGGTTGGTACAGAATGCGACGTTGGCGCGAATCTGTACTATGCATTTAAGGTTATGTTGCTATCTGTCACCCATTCTGTCATCACCTTGCGTGTGCTTCGAATAGTCTAGTTTATAGTAGTTTCGTGCCTTTTTATCAAGCTTCTCAATTCCACAAACCAAACTGTTCTTTTCAGAACAACTTTTTGTCGTACTGTGAAGCGTTATTTATTACGATGACGAAGGATTTGGACAGCACTGCTAAAAAATGGTAGCATCTTTAATTCTGTATTTTGAACAAGAGCGTGACCATGGAGGGGGCTTGTTACCTTTGCAGGTAGTAAGAGAGGTAACAAAAGCATAATTTTTACATTAGGTACCTACTAAGTAATTATCGTAGAGAGTGTCACAAGCTTTAAAGTAACAGTATCTCCATGGTAAGTACCATATCAGCGGCAGTGAAGAAGAATGAAGTGTTGAAATCGCCTTCAAAGAATCGTCCTCGCCTTAAGCCTGTGACAAATGTATCTAATTTGAACGTCGATGGTATTAGAAACACAATTTATAAGATGTACGAAAACAGTAAGTTGATCACAATTTTTATAATCAGTTGCAGAAGTGCATGTTACATTTGGCATTTGTGCATGCACAGCTTCGTGAAAAAGTCATTTTTCATGGTTCATTGGCATCATTGCGAACAGTGCTAAAAGACATTGGATTTAAATGGAAAAAACGAACCCAGGCGAGGTCTAATGGAACTACCCCATGTGGCAAGTAAAAGAATTCGTTTTCTGCGCCAATACAAAGATTTGTACCAATTTGTTTTTCTTGATGAAACGTGGATATTCCAAAATGGCACTATACAACGCCCATGGCAAGATAGTAATGGAAGAAGTGTGAAAACTATCAAAACTGATGGAAAGCGTTTGGTTTATTATTAATAGTAGTGGTAACAATAATTATTATAGCAAAAAATATGTTACAGACAAATAATTCTGCATGCTGGAAATGAGGAAGGATTCATACCTGGTGCAAATTTAATATTTGCATCAAAAACTTCAAGTCGTGATTATCACGGAGAAATGAACCAGACGAATTTCTTGCATTGGTTTCAAAATCAATTGCTTCCAAATTTAAGTGAACCGTCTGTCATTAATTCCCAGAATTAAACCAGAAAAAACATATTTGGTTGACCAATTAGCGGAACAATATGGTCATAAAGTGTTGTGCCTTCACCCTACCATTGTATTTTTAACCCTATAGAGTTAATATGGGGTATAACAAAAACTTATTATAATAAACATATTGGTAGAGATGAGAGAACAGAGACTGATTGTTTAAATATGTGGCAAGAAGCAGTTAATGTCGTGACACCAGATATATGGAAAAATTCAATCAAACACACTGAAGGTGAAATAATGAAATGGTCTGAAAGAGAAAAAATGTTAGATATGCAAGATATACTACCAATTATAATAAATTTAGGGGAAGATATTGACAGTGACACAGAAGATTCTTGTTAATTTGCAAATTAAGTAATTTGTATTTATTTAATTGTAAGATTATAAAATAATTACATAAAAGTGACTTATTACTGCAAAATACTATCCCCTGGCTTTGATGGTCAAGTATGACATGTAAATTGTGAAGCCTTTAAACCATGTAGAAAAGTTAATTAATGAATTTATCGAAATTGCTGTCGGTTCTTAACTTCCCAGTATGCACTTCAAAGTGTTAATCCTTACATAAAGCTCCAACATTAAAAAGTCGATCGCCTGTAAGCAATTGATAATCGGTACATTCCTGTACACGTAGATATCTTGTACTTCATGACAACTGAATATAGAGTTAAGATTTGTAAACTATATAGGTTGTCTGGTGGGTTTATTTTTGTATAATTTTCTTGTGTTAATGTTTATTTGATTCAAGTTTTGAAGATTGTAAGGATATATTAAATTATGAGTAGGTACTGGGTGGAGTACTACAAAAAACCTGTGGTTTTATGGCGGCAATTTAAAGGTAATTTCAGGCACGTAAAAGCGATTCTAAAATTGTTGATATTATATGCGTAGTAGGTCAAATGTGTAAGCAGTAGATACAATGATTTGAAAATAGTTCTATAGCATACTAAATGTTTGTCAACGCTGCATAAGAACGACGTCAGAAAATTAATTACGTGCAACGGAAATAGTATATTGTTACAATATTATATACCGCGGGACTGAAGTAGTACTTTTAATCACGAAGGTAAAGTTTATGGCCCGACCAAAGGGAGGGCCATAATTTACCTGAGGGATTAAGACCACTACTTCAGTCGTAAGGTATATACGATATTTTTCGTACTTCCGAAACTGAAACACTTAATATGAATGGAGTTAGAGAACGCGCTCTTTCGAAAAGTAGCTGCTTAACAAGTTACCATAGGAACGTTGCGTTGGTACGACAAACCCTATGCTATGGTAACAAAAATAATTTGGAAACTGTCATTGCTAGTGTCATAATTTTGGTGGTGGGTGACAAAGGTGTATTTGATATTGATAAAAAGCAGCCAAAGTAGGTATAGAATTGATACCACCGAAATCCAAAAAACTATATGAGCAGCAGTACGATGCGTTTAAGAAGTAGTGCCGCATACAAAATGTGGAACAACCTACTGAAATTGCCTTGTTAGTAATTTCATCCTTCCGGGATATTCGTCTAAATTTAATCCCGGCGGGACAAAAAGTGACACTTCAGTACTTGTCATAAAGGAGTGAAGTTCTTACTTTAGTCCCGGAAGTACGAAAAACTTATTATTTTACCTATACGTACGTTTTTCTAAACTAGATTTACGAGAACGCGCATTTCGTAACTAGGCGCTCCTCGACTAACTATAGCGCCATCTCAGAACGAGGAGACCGGATATCGGCACGCTAATGAACGTACGATTTTCTATTTTTACGGTTAGTTACACCCCTTTCAAAAGCAGATGAAAGCATCTCCTTAGCGAAAATTAGCAATGCCATTTTATCCTATTTGTTTGTAACTTTTATTGTATTTCCTCTATGGTAGGGATTAGTGTAAAGCAAGGGGCGGCGCTTTCTTACGTTTGAGATTGTCGGACAAGATGCGAAATTCGTCCATTTCTTTTGCTTTTCGATCGACGGCGCGCGTATCCTTCGATCTCGCCGCGGCACCGGGAACTTTGGCGACCAGTCCCTTGGACGCGTCAGCTCCCACTATGGCGAAGACCAATGGGCCTGCGGCGCCTTGGTAAATTCCGCTACCTCCGCTACCTTTTTGTCGATCGTTTGCACCAGATGCCAGGAGGGTGGAGTTTGTGGCGTACGCCCAATGCTGTTGCGTCTGGAGCGCCGTCAGGAAGGGCATTTCAGAAAACCACATTGAGGAGAAGAGGATAGATTTCACGCCGTACTGCGTTACTAGATCCAACGATGGTTTGCGAAACATAATGTCGAAACAGATGAAGGTCGCGAAGGTTTCGTTGAAGTCTGTGCGGAAAATTGAGATGTCCGGCTTTTCGGGGCGGGTCATGAAGATTTCGCCGAACAAGTTGTACTTGCGGTACTTCGAGATGATGGCCCCCTTTCTGTTTAGCACAACGTCGGTGTTGTAAAAGCTCCAACCATCCGCGGGGCACTCTTTTCCACTGCAGGGAGTTCTTTCGTACAAGTTCAGAGCAATGTACGTTTGGTAGTTAATGGCAGCACAGGAAAGAGAGGTGAGGAAGGTTGTAGTCGGACCGTGGCATAGTGAGGTGTCATTTACGGCGACCTCAACTGTGTACGGTAGTAAGTCGGCGTGCTTAAGAACAAGAGCATTTTCCGATAGTGTCGCCTCTGGATAAACGACTATGTCTAATTTCTGAAAATGGAAACTGAAGACATTATAAAAAGCCGTGGCTCACCGATGTCCGGTTCAATTGGTCCAAAATCTGTATATATCCGTTGATGTTTTTGCTCAACCTTTCTTCTGGTGACAAATGTCGGTCTTGTTCTGGGAAATATTCGACGACCGCCGCAGTGTAATCTGCATGGATCTATAGTACAAACGTGAGAATTTAGCCACCCTCGTAGCTATACTTACTCCCCAAAATTTGTATTGCAAGTAAAACAAGATGACGATCCAAGTCATTTTAGACTTTTGCATAATTGTTTTTTAGCCGAGCAACTGTGTACTAAGTGATTAGGAAATAGATTACTTTTATCTCGATATGACAAATGTAGGAACCAAAGTTTATCTGAGAATGGTCACGTTATCATTGAATATAAATATTTATACAAAAAAGTGAAGACTGTAGCAGTTCTAATCGCATCCGCTGTCCAACGATCCTAAGGTGGTTGAACATTTTAACAAGCACACCTAAATTGTGCAGATAAATCGCATAAGTAACTCCACATCTTTCCCATTTGAAAAAAATCCATTCCGAAATCTTTTATAAATAAAGTGCATGAAATACTTTGTTAATTATCCGGACCTTCTCCAGTCCGGAAGGTCTCTGAAGGTCCTGGGCACGGTAACCTTAGACTAAAGTTGTATTTCAAAATGAACGCGACTAAGAATGAACTGAACAAAATGCAAAATGAGTAAAGCTAAATTAAGACACTACTTCCTTAATATAACAAGCTATCATTTAGTTGCAGACATCATTTTTAATTTTTTTAAACAATTTTATTTGCAATATGTTAATGTTGTAACCTTTTGTTAAATTTTGAAAATAAAATTAAAATAAACAACACCAAATGCTTCAAAATTATTACTTGGACAGTAACTGCATTGTTTCGAGGTGTAACACTAGACCATGATGGTTTAAGAAAGGGTGTAACGTATTTTCAGTGGTGTCTCTATATACGCCAACGGTACTTGTCGTTTGAAATTTTGAAACCAGACATCTCACTGTGTCGTGGTGGTAGTTGGTAGAAAGCAGTTCCTTTTGTTGAGACCTTTAATTATAATGGCCTTTATTTTTGAGTGGGCGGGGCTGCAGTCAAGGCTGCTCTACCAACCCAGCCCACTATACATTTACAGATATCCATGCCCGGACCCGGATTCGAATCAGAGACCTTTAGTCCCGAAACCGAGCCACGTGGACCGGCAAGATAAAAGTATCACTGTTAACTCCCCTCCCCCCCTTCCACTCATCCACTGATCTCTACCAACCAATTAATTCGATGAGGCTTTTTCATTAGTATTACCATGAAGGGCAAAACGGTAAACGCCCCTCTTCATTTTCAAAAGTTTGACTTGGCTCCACTAAAGGCATGCGTATGCAAACACGTTTCACTTTCAAAAATCGTATCTTAGTAAATAATTCATGCCCCCCCCCCCGCCCTCCTCTTCAAAATAGTGGCGTCTGGCACACTTTCAAGATATAGGCTATCTATTTTAAAAAAATTCCAGGACTCTGGGACCATTCCCCTAAAAGTAGTCTGTTCATTTTTTTAACCTCAAAGTATGTGAAATAATTTCAAATGGAAGCGTTCTAAATTTTCATGTCTATATCTCAAATGGTTTGAGCGTGACGGCTTTGGTTCCACCCTTAATGGCAACCCTGTATATTAAATATCTCCTCTACAAACACTTACCTTCCCCACCAACCGCTGAATCTAAATATTGAAATCCGAAAAATAAATATACATACACCCATCATAAACCAAATTGAACGTTTGACATATCAAAACACGCAGGTGTGCCATTACTTAACAAAGTCACTAAAAATCAGTTAAATTTCCCTAGAATTGTCACTAAAACGTTTTGTAAAACTCCTTGGCAAAATTCGACCGCATGTGAACTGGAACTCTTTATCCGATATCCGATTATTTTATATACTCCTCAAAGTAAATATGCACTTGATTTAATAATTTTTAGACCGGTTTGAAAAAAAAATCCCATCTTAGTAATTGTCATGTTTCACAATATAAAAATGTTGGTTGCACCAATGCGGTCGATTTTACTTACTGACTCGTTGACTTGTAGTCACTCCTTAGGTTACAGCTCCTTGTATGAAACTTACCTTTTTTGGCTTTGCCTATGTAAATACCATTATGTGGTAACAAAATAATGTAGTATTGGTATATCCAAAACTTAATTTGGGTAAGTTTGTGATAAGAAAATTTGGGACCGTTGTGCTCAGATAAAGCGCCAATTTTAAATATCAAGATCAAAATCGATATGTTACCTGAATTATATCTTTAAATCAATAAATACTCTCAAATGTAGGTTTTACATCGTGTGCTTTACTTATTATGATGCAAACGTTATAGGTTACAATTTAAACAATATAAAACAATTCTTGTAAGTTTCGTAACTGTGTTACGTAACAAAATTATAGGTAGTAAAGCACACCAGTAAGCTCAAGCAAAGTAGAAGTTGGTCGGAGTGAATAACGGAGTTCTCGTAGATAGGCGTCGCTTATTTTTTAGCAAATTATAAAACAGGAAAAAGAATACTTACCGAAAGGGGGAAAGAAGATAGACTAAGAGACAGTTGTTCTTGTTTGGATCAGCTCAAGAAATAAAATAATTGACATAAACAATAGCTGTTGTCACAATCGAGGATGATTTAATAAATGATCTCATAATATTACAAATAGAGTACTGTAGGATCTAGATCTAAAATGTCAACGTATAAAATTTAACTCAATTTTTAGCAAAAAGGGATCAACCAGTAGGCAGGAAAATTGTCAATATTAAAACAGGCTCTGCAGCCTGCACTCGTCTCGTGCGGATTGCAGTTCTGAGCATCTTAGCAATGCGAGTAGGGGCCCTCTCATTAACATTTCCTCTATTTAAAATATGTTTTGCTTGAGCGATAATCGATTTTCACATGAATACTTACTTGCTATTGGCATTCTCACATGTACTTTTCGTGTCAAATAAAATTATGTTAATGAAGGCTGGAGTAGAGCCACACCATTTACATGTTTCCTATGTACAGGCAATTTATTATTTTACAAGTTGTGTTAGCTCAATTGATCGTACAGATATTTTGATGTGTTTTTGTACTGAATTGATTTATCATGTTTTCCACTGCATTTATGATGTCTTGTGTATTTTGATTTTATGAACTTGTTTAATTGCATTTGATTTGATTATCTGATTTTTATCATACGATTTGAGATGTTTTATTTATGTGTATTTTCTCTTGCATTTTATTGCTGTAGATGATTTATTTCATGATTTGTGTGGCCTATGCCGGGGTTTTTGTCCCGTAGAAGGTTTCCCTGGCATGGTCTTGTTCTGTGCGTAATATATTTATTTTTTCTTGTCATTTCTTACGCACAAAAGTTCTGTCTTTTATTTAATTCCCTTCCCGATTATGTCTCAAGTCCCAACACATAAAAGAACCGATTACACAACGTAGGAGTTCATTCGTGCCATCCATATCGAGCCGACTGCCATCTAAATTCAAGTGTCTCGAAACTTCCATGGTTGCGACTTGAAAGGTAGGTGGCTCAGCTCGTAGTTTTTCTCAGAGGTGCCAATAGTAAGTAAAGGGTAAGTCAACGTTTTCAGTGTCGACTAGATAGACCCCCCCCCCTCCCTCAAGGAACATTACAAAGCATTACACCAAAAGCGTAAACGATTATACAAACAAAAGGATAACAGTATAAAATATGTAATTCTGCATTACGGTTAAATCAAGTCAATTTCAAAAACAAAGATTGAAACTCACAAAAGAATAAAATGCTGCATACAAAACACAAATACGATAAAATAAATGCAAAGATTACAACATGCATTAAATAATACAAAAAAACAACAAACATTTACGGAGCGACGCGTTCGCGACGCCATCAAAAAAGACAAGATGCCAAACGTAACCCACGTTCGTGCCTTCCAGATGACGCTTGCCGCCTTTCCTCTCCTAAAAATCGCGTGATTGCCAGTTCTTAAAAATGTGTGCATCGTCGTAAATTGTATATACAGGGTGGAACCTCTCAAAGTCAATGAGAGAACTTGAAAACATAATAAACAAAAACTGGGAGGAAATCTGGCAAGCAGAGCCACCTACCTTTCAAGTCGAAACGATGGACATTTCGCGGCACTTTTGAATTTGGATGGCAGTCGACTCGATATGGGTGGCACGAATGGACTTCTACGTTGTGTAATCTGTTCTTTTATGTGTTGGGACGTGAGACATAATCGGGAAGGGAATTAAATAAAAGACAGAACTTTTGTGCGTAAGAAATGATAAGAACAAATAAATATATTACGCGCACAACAAGACCATGCCAGGAAAACCTTCTACGGGACAAAAACCCCGGCATAGGCCACACAAATACATGAAATAAATCACCTACAGCGATAAAATGCAAGAGAAAATACACATAAATAAAACATCTTAAATTGTATGATAAAAATCAGATAATCAAATCAAATGCAATTAAACAAGTTTATAAAATCAAAATACACAAGACATCATAAATGCAGTGGAAAACATGATAATTCAGCACAAAAACACATCAAAATATCTGTACGATCAATAGAGATAACTCGTCAAATAAACAAATTGCATGTATATAGGAAACATGTAAATGGTGTGGCTCTACTCCAGCCTTCCGTTAACATAATTTAATTTGCCACGAAATGTACATGTGGGAATGCCATTGGCCAATAGCAAGTACTCATGTGAAAATCGATTATCGCTCAAACAGAACATATTTTAAATAAAGGAAATTTTAATGAGAGGGCCCCCACTCGTATTGCTAAGATGTTAAGAACAAATAAAAGATCCCCCCTTCGTATAGCTAACGCACAAGAACTGTAGCGCGCCACGAAACAGAAAGTAACAGATACAGCGAACAATCAAACTGTATTAGGTACTTCCCTCACGGAATAGTTACGGGTCAATCGAACAGAGCAACATCACACCGATAATCAACTTCTCATAAAGATTCATATAACGGTACTCAAAACAAAACAAAGGCATGGAGTACGCCATGATTCAGATATCGTAGTTTATGCAAAATCAGCAAAATGTAAATAATATCAAATTGTGGCAAGAAATTCAATGATTAAATAGCTAGCACAAGAAAGAATAAAAGGGTTACTACCTGTAAATACACCTTCAAAATACCACCACCAAAAATAATCAAGAATAATAAAACCGGGAAAGCGTGTGCCTTCCGTCGACCTCGTCGCCATCTTCTTCCCATTCTCCCCTAGCTTCGTTACGAAAATCCCCTAGTATTCGGCATCTGCGCAAAACAGTCGTTGGTTATATACAGAGCATATCATATTTTTGTTTCAGATGTAAACGTGTATTGCCTAACCATCAAGGTCACACAACTTCGTGTTTATTTGCAAAAGTTTTGATACGGAAAAATAAGACTTTAGAGAAATCCTAAATACAAAATCAATAATAAAAGTGGCCATGCCAAATTAAGAGATATTCAATGATATATGAAAATTTCCTTCACATCCGACTCTTGGAGGACTCATATTGGACGAACAAATATTTTTTTCTCCAACCACCTGAATAAGACGCTATTTTGTGACAGTGTTCGGTACGTAAAATTGACGTTTTGCGGATTAATCGTTTTCACCATGGCAACTGTACAAAAAGTAGATACTTTTGGTCCTAGTACCAAAAAGAAATTGACCTTGAAAGTTGGCCAATTAAAAAATTACAATCACGGAGATATGTCACATTGACATCGTTTTACATTGCAGGTTATAAGATATTTCTATACATACAAATCAAATCTTTTTGCATATAAATGCAAATAATGATGTCACCTATACGTATGTACATGTATTGAAAATGATTTACGCTCGCTATTTTTATTTAAACCATGTGTAACGTAATTTACATATTCGATGAACGTAATTTTAATACGTATACAACCCGCCGTCGCGCGTAACGCCATCTACTTCAGACCCCTTGCACTATTATCTGTCATTTTGAATTCAAAATTTGAAAAAGTTTATTGCAATTAATTTTAATTAAAAAAACTGTGGTAAGTTTTTTATTTCAATACAAAATATAACAATATTAATTGTGTATACAATAAAATGACTGAAACTGATAGCGACATGGATTGCACTCCGCCAGAGATTATAGAAACGGCAGAACATGCTACCTCAAGATTTGCTCCCTACAAAGTCGCGAGAGGTGAGAAGTAAGAAGTCAGAACGAATAGGTTATAAGTTAACCTAAAAACTAGAGTGGCATGACACGTGAGGACAAGAAAGCAGAAGTTCTTATACTAGTAGTGAAACTGTGACTGAATCTAAATTCGAATATAATTTGAAGTAAAGGGGGTTGGAGAAAAAATTTTATGTTTTATTCGTACAAAAAATGCGTTTTCGGGACTCGGAAGGTTGCTGGACTCCGCTAACGCGTCGTCCAGCAACTATCTTCCTCGTCCCGAAAACTGACATTTTTTGTACTAATGAAACAAATAACTATTTTAAGAAGGCAAATTTTACACGATACCGCGTTTCCTTTTGGTTATTAACGCGATCTCTTCTATAGCTGGACGCAACTTAATGCTCTCTGAAAAGCTCTCTCGGTTTCATCCCCACTTTTTCTATTTTACAAGTGGCTGAAATCGGTTTCAGCGCCCATCTTTATTCTTTCTGCCAGACGTCTCTGGCGGGAACCTCGGCTTTGGCATGTCCCTTGTTGCGCCACGAAACGAATCCAGGTCATCAAAAACGGTCACGTATAACCCATAAATTCTGGCTTATCTCGCGACAACCGGGCGCCATCAACTTTTCTCACGTAATTAATCGACCAATGTCATATTAGACAAACTGGCTTTATAATAAATGAAGGCTCACAGGTCAATTGTTAAAAATATGATTGTGAATTTAACATTGTCTTATAACATGAACAACCAAACAAAAAAAAAAGCATAACAATAACTATTTATTTCTCCATCCACATCGACCAACTATTATTAAAACGACTAGGATCAGCGTTTTTATCTCTTAAATGCTGACTTTGAGGTTGTAAAATCCGCCAGTACTTCGACAATTCTTCACTTAACTTGTGAACCATGTGCGGATACTTTTTGGCCAAATTAGCCGTCTCACACGGATCGTTCATGACATCAAATAAGCAGAAGCGGTCAGGATCGCAAGGAACCGCCCGCGAGTCCACGCCTGCGCACTTAGTCGTAAGTTTCCCGCGTAACTCCACCACCTTCTCTCTCGTTAATCCGCCGTCGATGGCCCTATTCGTTAGACTCGACAAAATCGAGTCGACGTCGTAAGGCGGATTCGCCGATCTACCGGCGTCACCGCCGAAGTACCCGTCCGTCGCGAAATCCCCTAAAACCGAACCTACAGCGTACGATAAGATCACCTGTTATTCGACAGACGCACCGTTGATGAGCTTGTAATGTCCGTTGTAGCCGATTAGGCTCGAATACTCGGCGACCTCGTCTATGTCTAACAGCGCACTTGAACGGGTGGATCTGGCGCCTCTAGTTATCGTATCCCATTGGTTTATTCCGTCTATTGTCCCAAGAGTCTCCACGTTTCCACCTGTGAAAGAAAGGTCGCCATATTTAATTCAGAAGCAATGGTTAAAGTCACTAGATATATAGATAGTTCGGGAAAGATATTGAAGTCAAACCATAATTGTTTTCTTTTCGCATTTCTTTCACCACTTGATAAAGGAAACAACCTCGCACCTTTAACATTACTTTTTTTACAACCTGAAACAACAACCCGCTATATATTTGATTTATTAGGAAAAGAGAAGTCAAATTTCAAATACTTGACAGATATCTCGAAACAGGTGGAACAATCCCTAACATTAAAGGTACTAGAATCTGGTAACTTCCGCCATTTTTGGGCTAAAATCATGCGTTCTCTTTCTAACACACGAGCCCAATGGATTGCGGTACTTTCTATATTTAGTGACTTTAGCAATGGTGCTTTGTACACTCCCCCTACCTGCTGCCGCGTAAAGCGTAGGCATTAGATCGGTAATGTGCATCAGTTGGCTATTGACCGAAGACTTCTTCTGTAGTTTGGAGTAGTAGAAAAAGGCGGGTGATCTCACGGCCCCTTCGAACACCGTCGCTTTCATCTGCAACCAAAAAGATGGAGGTTAAGATTTCACTTAGAGAACCGTAGGTACCCCGCGTAACGGCCAATTTGATCCTGAATTGTCATACTCTCCGATGTTCTGCGCGCCATTGTCTGATAGAAAGACAATTATCGTGTTGTTTAAAACGCCTTTGTCTCGCAAGGCTTGAATTACAACTCCGACTGAGGTATCAAGCTCGGTAACTATGCCCGCGTACAAACGCCTGGCGCCATCTTCAATGTAGTGGAAGCGTCTGTTGTTGTCATCGATATCGGGCACCTCCAGAAGTTTTTGGTTTCCCGCGTGCGCTGCCAGGTGGGACATCATAAGGAAGAGAGGCCTCTCATAGTCGTGCTTCCTAATGACCTCTTGGGCCTTTCGCGTAAATAAATGCGTTGCGTATTCGTGCTGCAGGTGCCAGGCGGTGTAGAGATCCTCGTGCATATCAAATCCGGCGTACTCCTCGGAGTTAACGTGATCAAAGTAATTGATCAGCCCCGTCCAGTACCCCACGTGATAATCGAACCCTCTGTACGTTGGCGTGGCGTTTCTGTGCGAGAAACCCAAGTGCCACTTGCCTATCAGCGCCGTGCCGTACCCCAATTGCTTCAATTTAAGCGGGAGCGTTTCCAATTCGAGCGGCAAGTGGCGATCTTCTCCCGATCGAATTGGAAGTCCCTGAAAGCCTGCACAATTATTTAGCGTGAAGAGCGAGGGATTCGTCCGGACAAACCGTAGCGGATCGGGTACTGCCCCGTTAGCAGGGCGGCACGAGATGGCGTGCAAAGTGGCGCGACGTAAAAGCGTTCGAGGATCAGCCCGTTGTAGGCCAAGGCGTCGATGTTCGGCGTGGGAATTTGGTTTGACCCGTGATAGCTGACATCGTTCCATCCCTTAAAGATCCCTAACCGTTAAATATTCTAAAACGATTAATCTCACCATATCATCGGCCAGGATGAGGACAATATTCGGGTTGATTTTTAGTGAAGCGTCCCCATAATTAATTAAACAAATTATTAACGCAAGTTTGACGCGCATTCTTATTTTAGTTAACACAATGAAAGACTGCCTTGAAATATGAATGGAAATTCGAAACTTGTGCGTTTCATTATAATGTAAGTTTGACAGTGGGGCGAGGAAAACTACATTTACATAATATACATACGAATTTGTTATCAATTCAAATGCGCTACGTGCTTTATCAAGCTTCTAAGATTAAAGTACTAAGTTTACGGTTTATCGGGTAGGTACCTACCTACCTTATCTTCTGTAGCATTTTCTTAAATTAAATAAAATAGGACGCGAACTCGACACGTTCGCATGAGTACGTTGATATACAATATTTTAAACAAATAGAGAGCACCGACTATACTGTTTACCCGTACATATTTAGTTCTGCTATTTATAGACAACCAACAATACAACAAGCCATTACAGATAGCGAAACCCAGTTACTATAGTTAAATCTGTTGTATTTTGTTACAAAAAATTACAAGAAATACTTAGAACACATTTTATAATAAATATTACATTTCAAAAATCTCTTATGACAGATGCCTACCCTGATATAAATATAACATCTTCCTTTTTAGCGCATTTTTGCAAATTTATTTGTAAAAAGTAGCTTTTAATCTCACTTTGGCTGGCTGGCTGGCTGGCTGGCTGGCTGGCAGCAAATGTGGGCGCGTAGAAGAACTCTTGTAGAAAGGCAACGGGTGTACGTGTATCTACAGGGCCGTGAAATTTGTCAACCTTAGGGACATGGCTACATGATGTGGGTTTGGCGACATCTGGGCGTCATCCTCGAGCGTAGTATACTAACGTGAAGGTTTTTCAGTTTTTTCCTATCTTCTACTACAGTTTTGGTTCGATTCTTTTCAAATTGGTGTCGTCGGAAAGATGTTGTAAACGCGCACAACTCCTGCGTGGCGGAATTTTGTTTTTTGTCATAGGGGCGAAATTAACGACCTTTTGCGAGGCGCGCGCGCGCGTCTTCGAGAAGTAGTCAGGCGCCTTTTACTTTCCGTTGCGAACTCACGCGGTTTAACGTTTCGTGAATCTCGAATCGCTGTCTCTCTTTCTCGTGTCGCCAATAGAAGTGAATTGCGAGTGAACGGGACGTCGGAAGGGGGTACCGTCAAAGGAAATGTGGTAGCCCCCGACACGATTTTCCTGATGGTGGAGTCAAATCTTCAAACACGAATTGCTGGTGAACGGGACGTCGGAAGGAGGTACCGTCAAAGGGAATGTGGTAGCCCCCGACACGATCTTCCTGATGGTGGAGTCAAATCTTCAAACGCGAATTGCGGGTGAACGGGGCGTCGGAAGGGGGTACCGTCAAAGGAAATGTGGTAGCCCCCGACACGATCTTCCTGATGGTGGAGTCAAATCTTCAAACGCGAATTGCGGGTGAACGGGACGTCGGAAGGGGGTACCGTCAAAGGAATGTGGTAGCCCCCGACACGATCTCACTGATGGTGGAGTCAAATCTTCAATCGCGAATTGCGGGTGAACGGGACGTCGGAAGGGGTACCGTCAAAGGAAATGTGGTAGCCCGCGACACGATCTCACTGATGGTGGAGTCAAATCTTCAAACGCGAATTGCGGGTGAACGGGACGTCGGAGCGGTTAGTGAATGTAGTAGCCTTCGACAAGATCTGTTATTGATGGTTGAGTCGAAAGTGGCTAATAGAATACTGATCTGCCACACAAAAATGCGCTGAAGTCCCTTCGATCTCAAACGAGGACTTTGATAATTTTTTTTTTTAAAACAAACAAATCAAAACAAACTTAAAACAAAACATTATTATGAGATTACATAAAATAATCTTTAAACTTATTCGGTAATTTAACAATCCGACCACTGTTGTTTTGTTTAATATTAGAATCAGGAATTGGGTCATTTGAAGGATCAATTTCACAGGTGGTTTGATTGTTAATAGTTTCTAAGTTATTATCAGCGGTGTTATCAGAAGAACGATCCATATTTTGAGTTTGATCATGATCATTTGAGCAGTTTGATGAGTTGTTAATTTCAAATTTTGTATTAGTTGGTTTTAGTTGGCTAAAGTTTCTTCTAACAACATTGTTCTTATTATTAATTACATTAAAAGATCTAGGAGTGGAATGATTACCAACTACTTGTCCTTTTTCCCAAAACTGGTCTTTTATAAGAACATTATCACCTGTTTTCAAATTTTGGTTAAAATTTTTTGCACTGGTCTTTTATAAGAACATTATCACCTGTTTTCAAATTTTGGTTAAAATTTTTTGCACTTTTTATCGTGATTTCGTTTAAAATATTCCTGTTTGGCTAAAAGTTTTTTATGTGCATCTTTAGGAATTGCGGGTTTTAGTACTTGTGTGTGAATAGGAAGCTTGGTTCTGGTTAGTCTGTTCATGAGCATTTGACTTGGCGGTATACCAATACCCGAAACAGGAGTATTTCTAAACTCCAATAATGCGAGGTGGATATCAATATTGTCGTAAGAACATTTCTTGAACATTTGTTTAGCAGTTTGAACTGCACGTTCTGCTTGACCATTACTGCGTGGATATTTAGGAGAACTTGTGCAAAACTGGAAATTCCACTCTTTGGAAAAATTCTTGCATTCAAAGGAAGAAAAAGGCATATTGTCACAAATTACTGTGTTGGGAATACCAAACGTCGCGAACAATATTTTGAGGTGTTTAATAATTTCTGACGAGGTTTTGTTTTTTAATAGAATGATCTCGAGCCATTTCGAGAAATAATCTTGTACAATAAGATAGCTATTACCTGCATAATCCATTATATTACAAGCTATTTTATAAAATGGTATATTTGGTATCTCATGTGGAATCAATAAATCCCTTTGTTTAGCATTTTGGTAACGTTCACAAACATAACAATTAGATATCATATTCTGTATGTTACTTGACATGCCTGACCAAAATACAATTTGTCTAGCACGTTGTTTGGTCTTAACAGTACCAAAATGAGGTTCATGAAGAAGCCGTAAAATATAGAATCTAAGTTTATCCGGGACTATTAATCGGTGGTTTATAAATAACAAGCCATCTTCGACAGATAATTCTGCTTGAAACTTATAATAGTATTTAATTGAACCGTCCATTAGTTCATTACGTTTAGGCCAGCCATTTATAATATAGAACATTACCTTTGACAAAACTGGATCATTGGCAGTAGCCTGTATAAATTCCAACTTTTTAGCATCTGAAATACTTAAATTTTTGCTTAAAGTATGAACAGTTTCAGAAATCCATTGATCATCACCTTCGCTCTCTGGAAAATTTAGGTAAAATCGTGAAAGCAAGTCGGCAATAAACATATATTTTCCTGGTAAGAAATTTAACACTGTAATTTTATTCTCATTCTTTGCAAACGCGATGAGGCAATATCTCCAATTTTTTTATTCATCAGAGTTACCAAAGGTTTGTGATCAGTATTTACCTTTATTTCGCGACCATAAATGAAGATATGAAACTTGTTTACTGCAAAAACAATAGCGAGAAGCTCCTTCTCTATTTGGGAATAATTTTTCTCACTAGAACTCAAATTACGAGAAGCAAATGAAATTGGTTTGTCATCCTGAAGAAGACAGCACCCCAGGCCATCTTTGGATGCATCGGCTTGTATGGTGATTTTTTTAAATGCATCAAAGTTAGCTAACACATCAAAGTTAGCTAACACTGGAGCATTAGAAATTATGTTTTTTATTTTATCTAGCACAACCGAGTGTGCAGTTAACCATTTAAATTCAACTTTTTGTTTTAATAATTCACGCAATGGAGAAGTTATATCGGCTAAGTTCGGTATAAACTGTCGCAAATAATTTATCATTCCTAAAATACTTTGCAGTTCTTTTACATTTGTGGGATCTTTTAATCCTTTAATTGCTGCTATTCTGTTTGGATCAACTGACATTCCATCCTCCGAAAAGATATGACCAAAATAATTAACTGAGGGTTGCTTAAATTGAACCTTGCTAGGATTAAATTTAACTCCATTTGCAGTAGCTCTTATGATCACGGAATTTAAAATTTGATCATGTTCCTCGGAGGAATCGGCAGCTATCAAGAGATCATCAATGTACACTTGAACACCCTTCAAGTTTCCAAAGATTCTTTCATTAATGGCTTGAAAATATTCTGGAGCCATATTAAGCCCAAAAGGCAAACGATTAAATTTGTAACAACCAAAGTGCGTAGCAAATGTACAAAGATCACTAGACTTTTCAGTAAGTTCTACATGCCAAAAACCTTCCTTTAAATCGAGCACTGTAAAAAACTTTTTACCTTTAAGGTTTCCAATTATATCTTGAAGAGTTGGAATAAGGACATATGCGGGTCTTTTAATTTCTAAATTTAAATCACGAGGATCCAAACAAAGTCTTAAGGAGCCATCCTTCTTTTCAACAATTACGATATTATTAACCCAACCAGATGGTTTATCAACTTTTGAAATAATTTTTCTATTTTCTAAGGATATCAAGGTTTCCTTTAATTTGTCACGAATAGCAAATACCCCTAGGAGGGTTAATGACCGGTATGGCTTCATTATTTATTTGGATTTCACATTTATCCTTAAACTTACCCAGATCTTGAAATAATTCTAGATTATTCTTAATAAATTCATCCTTAGTCATAAACTTACCCAAGGCATCTACTTTGCGTGCAATAAGATCTAACTTAGTACAAGACTCAAGTCCTAATAACGGAGAAACAATTTTGTCTACAATTATGAAGTTATCAGTAAATTCAACGTTGTTACACTGAACTTTTAGTGGAACAATGCCAAGAGATTTTAAGACAGTACCACCAAATGCCTCCAAAATTATGTTTGTATTTTGTAACTGAGACTCTGGAACACCTACTTCACTTAACATTTTACGCGACAGGACATTCACATCTGCACCAGTGTCTAGTTTAATAAATTTAATAGGCACATGATGATCACCAACGTTTACATTTTGAAACCATGACTTAATTGACAAAACCTTTTTGTTCTGATTTCTTACCCCAATGCTGTTAATGGTGAACTCCAACTCGTCAGATTGCTCATCCTGTTCGTAGCACCTTCACATTTTTTACTTGACAGGAAACTGCAAAATGATTTAACTGTCCACATTTATTGCAGCTTCTCCCAAAAGCAGGACATTCACGAACGCCATGAACAGTCTGACATCTTCTACATTCAAACCTTTCACTACTCGTTTTGGAAACAGACTTATAATTTCGGTTTGCTGACTTTTTCTTAATGACCTCAACTTCGACT